TACTGCATTTACACTTGTACCAATTCACTTACCAGTTTTAGTTGTAATTAATTTTCCCCAATTCTTTGTGTTGCACAAGTACTAAAGGGTGTAGAGGCTTGTGAACAAAACTAAAAAAAAAAAAAAAATTTGTACTGCATTTATACTGAAAAGTTCTGATTCTAAAATGTCTTTTCAACAGTATCTTTGTTTCAATTGTGCAGGGAGAGGCAGAGATTTATCTCTGCAAGCAAATAAGTCAGTACTGAAATCTGGCAACAAAGGTTTTAGCATGTTACTGTCTTTTTCTTCGTAGAAATTATCTCCTTGAAATGCACAGCAGTTTAACTTCGAAGGGTTTTGGAAAGATGTACAGGTTAATTTCCATGGTAAATACAGTCAATATTCATACAACACCTCATTAATGTTTTTTTCTGTTATAAGTAAATATGTAGAGTAGAAGGCATACAAGAATAACCAGATAATCTGAAACGAGCATTTCAGCTGTTTGGAAGGTGATAGCAGCAGTGAGTAATAGTGATTGCAGAGAGTGTCTATATGTGCACTAATTTCTTCTATTTGAGAGATGGCTTTGATTGTGGCAGGGAGAGGGATTCTTTGTAGAGCCTCTCCATGGTTTGGCCCAAGGTCGGTGTTCCTCCCTCAGAGGGCTCATGGCTCTGTTTCTTGGCAGCAGATCCCAAGGGAGCCTCAGGCAGCTAAACGGAGGCTCCAGATTTCCCACTGCTGTCATGAATCAGGACACTTGTAATTGCTTCTACTTATTAGATGGTGGGGAGATGGTGGCAAGGCCTTTTTTGAAGCAGGAGCTATGACTGCTGTTATCATAGTTCTTATAATCAGAAAGCAGTTACTAGCACTCATAAGGTTATACAATATTCTAAAACCCCAGTTTTGAATGGTTTAAAATGCAATGGATTTAGTGTGAAATATCTAAAAAGTCTAAGGGCATTCTAACATTACGATATTAATGGCAGTGGTCCAAAGGATATTTTTTTTCCATTAATTTATTGTTCAACCTGCGTTTCTGGAAATGAAGCTCTTAGTTCCCTTGTTTTGCAATAGTATATTTTATATTTGCCAAGCTTTTATAATGACCTTGAGGTGGCATTGCTTCACCTGCTATACCTTGTTTCTTCTCATGGTCACATTTATTTTGTGCATACAGTGGGCAGAATATTACTGGAATAAGAGAAAAAGACCCTTACAAGTACTTCACTGGGATCCTAAGAATACACAGAATTTGTTTTCATGTGAGAATGTCTTATGGAGGGATACTGCTGGTTTTGAGTGATTTGTGTGAATTGTTTTCCAAAAAGCTGGGTTGCTTGCTCTAGCGAGTAGTAGATTAACCCCTCCTCTTTTAACGTTTCTTTGTCACTATATAAATAGCCTATATGATCTTTTCTTCAACCAAATGTTAAACTGTAATCATACACCAGGATTGGAATTATATGCAACGTTGCTAGTACAGTATAAGGCTCCATATTCATTAAAAATAGATTCGTGCATTGGCAATGCAAAAATAAATATAGATTTGTGTATCTGGAAATATATATCATGGACCGGATCAAATGTGAGCAATCAGTTTGATTTCTGTCTACTTACCTGAAGTACATGGTGCAAGATGCATTATACTGACTATTTGAGGAACAAGATTTGCAAAAATTTCAATATTTTGAATCTTTCTGAGCAGTTAGAATGGCTTTGCACTACTTGGTCCTTCTCAGCGTGCAGCTGTAGTGGTTTTGATCTAAGTTCTTGTCACACTGTGAAACAAAATTACGATCTGAAGGTGCTTCTGATACCAGAAAGTGCCATGCTTCACTTTGCTTTATCATTTCACAAGATCCATTTTGTAAACTAGATTTGTGAGTATCTCAACCTAAGCATTTCAGAATACTACAGAGAGTTCTACATATTACTCTCTACCTTGTTGACACCATGCTTTTGCTTGGAGTCTCCCAGGTGGCTGTATTTAACACATGCTGAATGTATAGGATCAGGAGTGAAAGTGACATTTTTAAAATGAAACTAAATGGAACTTTTCATAACCTGAGATTTTAGAAAATGATGTAATTTGTAACAAGGCAGCTAGTGTGAAGAGACATTACTGTTGGCTGGAGTGGAGGAATACACAGGAGCTGACTTAAAGACCTATGGAGAAGAATAGTTCTGCAGGAGACTTCCCCTTAATCCTGCACAATTTGGAGCTTCACTTTATAAATCCACAGGGACAGGTTTTCATTTAACATAACAGCTGATGACAGTCTTTGGTTACAAATCTTCCAGCTAATAGAGATATAGAAATGTCTACACATACAGGGCTGTAAAGTATCATATTTTAGTAAAAAGCATAAAAACATGGTGCATCCTGTGTACAAAGACCTCACCAAAGCCAACACATGGTGTTCTTTGCAACTAATGCTTACTGAAGTTTTTTCGGATTTCTCAGTCCAAAGCATAATCTGGCTGTGTAGTTTTGCCAATAAATCACCCATTATCAGCTTTTTACTATGGAAACCTCACTATTTTTCCTTCTCCTTTCCCCACTTCTGGGATTGCTACTTTCTCCTACTTCCACCCCTACCAAATCCAGTCATCTCAGTGGTGAGACATTATTTCTGGCTGGACTTAGCTGCACTTCAGACGAGTCTTGCTCAGAGCAATCACAGCTTGAGCAAAGTTTCTTCTTCCTTCGCTGCATTTTGCCTGCATAAGCAGCATCTGTATGTGAAGGGCTAGCAAAGTTACTGCAGTGATTCTCGGGCAGTAAGGTGTGCCTGTAGTACTGATAAAGTACCACTTTTACTGGTGTTGTTTATACTCCTGAGTAGATCAGGCACAGTCAGTTGGAAGAAAAAGGCTCCTAATCGGATTGTGTCTATGTTAGATATGGTGCCAGCACCCACATGCCAGGGAGGGATCAGACCTTTGCACCCTCTTTCTGAGACATAGGCAGAAGCCTTCATATTTCACTGCGCTAATAAATGCCCCTCATTACCCCAGTGCTCTCTCTGCTAGCTCTGTGTGACACTTGGCTAAAATGTCACATCCAGGTAAGTCTGGTAGTCACTCCACCGTTCACAGTCTGCAGTGGAGGGCTGACTTTAATGGGAGGTACTGGGCCAGAACTTCATAAAACTGAAAACCTCCTTCAAGCTCGGGTTGCAGAAGTGGTTTTTTTTTTTCTTGGTAAAACCTGCCATATTTTTAAAGCATATATGTACCCAGCACTCACTTCAGTGTATTTTAACATGCAGAGCACTTGAGAGAATAAGCATTTAGATGCCACTTATCAAAGTCTCTGTTGCAGCAAGCTGAATGTTTATTTCTTGGAATAAGCAAACCTTGTTTTAATAAATTACCTTTTTTTTTTTTTTTTTGGAGGGGGGGTACTTTTTCAGCAATAATGTAATTTGTTCAGAGGATCAAAATTTGTCATATTTTCTTTTTATACAATACCCTGGCTGCTGGTTTCTTATTAAAAAATGACTCACCTTTTTACTCATTTGATTATTTCCTAAACATTTGTCCTATTGCTTCTTCTATTCTGGTGTTTATTAGCAATATTTGTAATATTACTATTTCCAGAACTACAAAACCACCTTGAAAATATATCTATATATTTTTCCTTATACTGCAAATAAGTTTATGTGAAGCAAAAGCATGTATTTATTAAATAGCAGCTTTGGAGGTCTGAGCTGGCAAATTGGCTAGCTGTGTCTTTCAGTACTATGTATTTCTGCTGTAATGTTAGTGACATTTTTTGATTTCTGTCAAAACAACAACAATACTAACATTATGTTGATGAATCACTCCAGTACTTGGGGAGGAGGTACATCTTAGTGGTGATGCTGCAGCACAGGAGATTCACTGACTTGATGAACGTATGACAAAGCAAAGCCTAATTCTTTAGGATAGCCAGGTATTTGAATCTGCAGGTGAAAACTTAGGCTTCTGCAGAAGTCGAGGGAGTAGTCCCATCTTAAAGGCCTTCTTGTCCCACCAGGACTTACATATTTTCTTTAACTGCATAGGTTATTTTAGCTGAGTCTAGTTCCAAATGTACGTATCTTACATATAAAAAATTATGCAAATGTCTCTGCTTTTGTCTGAAGAGAACCGCAACTGTACAGTCTGCTATGTAGTTACCCAGTCCAAGAGCCAACCCCATTCTGACACAGGCGGTGGTGAGGACGCAGTTTTGGTTTTTTCCCCCTTTGTAAGTATAGGGTGCCAGTCAACGGGAAGTCATGAAAGGTCTAGAGTTTTTTGTTGTTGCAAAAAACCTATTACAACTCTAATGAAAGGTTTGATAATTAAGCTTGAAAATTTTTTATCATGAGATTAATCCTTACTTTAGCGAGTAACTCCATTTAAATCAGTAAAATTACTCACGTGAGTAACCTGTTGCAGAATTTGGCTGCAGTACTACGATTGCCTACGGGGAAGTACAAGCAAGTCTGCAATTAAAATTACAGAAGGAAAAGGAAATCTGACCTTAAAAAAAAAAAAAAAAAAGGAAAAGAAAAAAAAAAAGAAAAGTATATGCATTATATGCGTGCCTATTGTTTCATTGAAGAATGACTGTAGCTTTTGCCTTCTGAGGTGTTACTAGCAGCAGGGCACAGCTCCTTCTTTAAGAAGGGTAGAAAGAGGAGGATCTCTGATCAGGGCTTTTAACTTAAATGCACCTTAGGCTTTTTTTGTGTGCATTATATTAGTGGAAAATTCCTTCATTCATTTGAAAAGATCAAGAATTGCAGCTTTTACATTTAGTTGATGTGACATCTGTGGCTTGCTGGAGCTGCCAGCATTCCAAAAAGGATATCGTCCTCATCTGCAGCCACTCAGCGCTTCGGGGTGGAGCCTGCAGCACGAGCCGAATCATTTACAGGTGCATAAGTACGCAGGGAAGGGCACAGGTGATGCACCTGTCTCGGGAAGGAGCACTCGTGCAGGTGTGTCGTAACGCAGGCAGCTGCCTCCTTTAGAGCATGAGCTCCTTCGATCCACAAGCGCACTCTCCACCACGCTGCAGCCCCCAATTTCCAAATATTGGTCAAGAACCTCCAGAGATGAACATCTACTATGAGAACTTTTTCCACCCACAGAATATCCCAAGCCCACAACGACCAACCACCTTTGAGACGACGGACTACAACACCACTCCCAATCCTTACCTCTGGCTAAATGGACCTTCCATTACCCCCCCACCGTACCTCCCAGGATCCAATGCCAATCCCTTCATTCCTCAGTCCTATGGGATGCAAAGGCAGCTTTTGCCTAACATGCATGGCTTGGGAGGACCTGAGCTTGGCTGGCTTCCTCTCCCATCGCAGGAAGAGCTGATGAAGTTGGTTAGACCACCTTACTCCTACTCTGCGTTAATCGCCATGGCTATCCATGGGGCACCTGAGAAGAGGCTGACTCTCAGTCAGATCTACCAGTACGTGGCCGACAACTTCCCGTTCTATAACAAAAGCAAAGCTGGATGGCAGAACTCCATACGGCACAACTTGTCACTCAATGATTGTTTCAAGAAGGTGCCACGAGATGAAGATGACCCAGGTAGAGTTTTCCTCCTTCTTCTAAACTTGCTTTATTTTAAAATACCTAATTCACTGTAAAGACACAAAATAAGTCAGAACTAGGGCATGTCCATAGTAGCTTCTCTATTTTCAAAATGCTGTGCTGAAAGACACCCATGTAAACTTGGGCTCTGGATCAATGTTGCTAATAGATGGGTGCAGGGCAGGGGATCCTTTACTGCCCTAGGTCTTTCTGAGAAGTGATCCATGTGCTGAGAATGCAGCAAGTTCTGGATCAGGCTGAGCAAGGCCCATTCAAAACCTGTGTAATGCGTATGATTAATGTCTAACTTAACTGGGAATTAATGGAAAGAGGAGAAGACAAATTCAGATAATGTCTATGAAGTTCAGTAGCTTTAGGGATTCAACAACAATTCTCAAGACTAGTATGCTCTTGTTTTGTTTGTTTTCAATAGTGTTTTGCCTAGGATCATAGCTCTTCTGTCTCCAACTGCTTGGCCAATTTGCTGCCACATTGTTCCTTTATTTATTGTTTTCTATCAATAGAAGCATTGAGAGCTTTAAGAACAGTTCAATTACTGTGCCACAAAGGGTCCACAGTCTTGTTCTGTCTCATCAGTAGGCTCTCTCATACCCCTGAGTGAGGAGGAGCAGTGAAGAATATGGTTTGGTCACTGTGCTCAGAGAACTGGTTATATGCTGGAAACTTTTGCTCAAAAAAAGTGCTTCCCTGGGGTGCTTCAAGTTTTGGCTGTGTTGGCTCTGTGCTGTGATGGAAGTGCAAGATTCAGCCCAACACTTTACAGGCTTCTTTGGATTCAAAAGACTTTTGGGCGATCAAGAAGATTGTAATCTTTTGCTCTTGCAATTTGTACATAGCATAAAGTAACTGCTCTTTTCTGCCTGTGTACATATCTTTAAACTAAGCATGTTTTGTCCCCTTTGACAGGAAAAGGGAATTACTGGACTCTGGACCCAAACTGTGAGAAGATGTTTGACAATGGAAACTTTCGCAGAAAGAGGAAGAGGAAATCTGATGTTGGGAACAGTGCTGCTTCTCTTGCATCTGAGAAATCTGAGGATAGTGGTCTGACTGGCAGCCCCAAAGCTATAGAGCATCCAGATATCTTGGAGAACTCACCACCTGGGACTGACAATTCACCTGAGAAGCGATCACCCCCTCCGTCCTCCAGCAGTCCCTGCCTCAGTAACTTCCTCTCCAGTATGACTGCATACGTTAACGGCTCTAACTCAGTGAGTCGATCGGTGCCTTTGGGACTCAACACTGAACCCATTGACAAAATGGGACAGAACATGGTAGGCTTCAATACTTATTCTCCGCTCTCTAATATCCCCAGCCATGCTGTGGGAGAGTGGTCCAATTCCATGCCCTCCAGCCATCTGGGCTATAGCAACTCAGTGCTCAACCAGTTTAACACACATTTTTACAGCAGTATCAGTACAAATAACACCCTGTATAATAGGGAGGGGACAGAGGTTTAATTTAAAAAAAAAAGATTGCAAGACAGCAAAGTGTGGGTATTTATAAGAGTTAATGTTCTGTGGGCAGATAATTAGTGTTAATCTGTTGTCCCTGGGACCTGCATTGTTTTCTACCTTCTGACAGCCCTATGCTTGCTACTTGTTACGCTTGCCCAAATCCCAAGTATTCCACATGTATTTGGTAGCTGAAATAAAATTTCAGGATTTGTAACAACAGTAGTGAGGACTTCAGGAAGATGTAATGCTCCCAACCACGCTCTTCTGTAGACATCCTTGAAGAGTTAGCATTTTCCGTTAGCCCTAAAACTTTCTGGCACGATATATTTTGCTTAATGTTCCTCAAGCCCCAGTATGAATGTGGTCCTATCTCTTAATATCCCTTCTTGCTGACACAGGTTGTCTACACCAGGCATGTTTGACAATTTCTTCTTTAGACAAATCTATTCTGAGATGCTAAAGTCTGCAATACTCCACCAGTACCTATAATAAAGGTAGCATGTAGTGAGTAACAAGCAGCACTCGAAGAGCACATGCCCTGCTGCTGTGCACGTGGGCTAAATTCTGATCTTTCGGCCCCAAGGAGAATATGGTTGAGAAGCAGGCTGGCAATATCACAGGCATAACAGTAATTTTGAAACTGAAGAGGAAACAAAACATAATGGAACTTTCTTCTACCTGTGCAATCCGATCTTACTCCTTTTCATTCCAGATACAGGGTCAAATTCTGTTTGCTTTACATAGGCAAATCAATTC